TTTTTATAATCCTAAAGTAATTGGATTATTGATTTTCTTCATAATAAACTTATACCTTTTATATTAAAACTCTGTTCCTTTTATTAATTTATTTTCTTCAAATATAAATTCTGATATATAAATTTCTGTTACTATTTTATAAACTATTGATAAATATATTTAATTCGTTGTCTTAATTTCTTAAATCGACCTTTAAAATTTAATTATTAATCAATATTTAAAACCTGTGATCTTAAATTCTTAAGTCTTTTAATTAGTTTTTAGTATTTAATTTAATATTTCTTTCATTCTTCTTCTATTATCCTCTTCAATTTGTAAACCAAAGTAACTGTTTACAAGTTACTAGTTGTAAATTGCCTTTTGGAAAATAAAATTAGCCCAAAAGGTTGATTAGTAACAATGGCTATAATCTTTTCCTTCTTGCTAGAATTATTAGGTATTATTCATATTCATTTTATGTTTGATTGATTTTTTAAAATATAATATCTTATAATTTGTAATTTATAATTTATTTTTCAGAGAATTTGATTTTGATAAAAGAAGTTGAGAAAGTGAACATGTAAATCAACAATATAATGTTTCAGATTCTTATAGAAATAAATCAGATTTGGCCAGATCAAGCTGAGAAAAGGATGGGTAAAAATTATTATTTATTATTTATTTATTCATTTTATTTATTTATTCATTTTTATTTATTTATTTATGTAGAAAAAAGAAGAAATAACCTGTATTACCCTCAAATAAAACAAAAAAGCAAAAAAATAATTCTAATGAAAATAATGAAAATCTACAATTTGAGCAGCAAAAGATGAATAGAGTTGCACTTGAAAAATTAAATATACAAAAACAAATAAATGATGAACTTGAAAGGGAAATTACATTGAAAAATGAAAACAGCTAATGATAACTATTAGTATACACATTTTATGGGATTAAAAAATTATTTGATTTTAAAATCGCTATATCTACCCAAAAATATCTTTGTTTTAATTTCCACTTTGTTAATTGGTACAATTGTTCCAAAAAACCACTGTTATGAATTTATTTCGAACTAATCACTTAAAAATGTATAGAATGTTATAAATAATAATAATTGTCTGGAGGACATGCATAGTGGAGATAACGATTCTTGTTGCCCAGGAAATAATAAATAAATGTTTTTCCAACTAAAACACATAATTCACCAATTTACCTTGGTATAATTTTCAAGGCTATTATTATTATATCATTGGTTTCTAACCAACTGATACAGCATCATATAACGAGCGTGGTGTTATTTTACACTCTTAAAATCCTTCAAGAATTATGCGGTCTTAATGGGATTATTTCCGTTTGCACGCATGTTCTTTCTTCAGATTATCATACTTAACATTATTCTACTGATAGAAACTTGTAAAATATAAAATAAAATTAATAAAATTTCTCTTAAAATAATTAACTGTTCTGTTAAAAATACTTGCTTTATTTACATTATCCATATTCATACAATAAAATAACTAGTTAGAACTTTGAGGTTTTTAAAAACGAAACTTCGACCCAAATAAAAAAAGCGGGGTAGATATGCTAATTTAATTAGAGAACACTTTTAAAATATTGAATTAGATAAATTTGTCAATAATTTCAATAATTAAAAGTTTTTGTTGTGAATCGTGGCATGGAGTTAAGATATTTGAGAAATCGAGTTAAAGTTTTTTCTATGGTTTGATTTCTTTGATTTATTTAGATTTTTGTTTACATAAATATCTTTAAAAATACACTAAATTATCAGGCAAATAAAAAAAAGAGAATTGAAAAATTTATGACAAGATTTAATTAATTTATTGTATTATTATTTCATTGTAATTAATACAATTAATATTACAATTATTATTCAATCTGGTATAGATAATAATTAAATATACAAATATTATATAAAATAATAATATATCAGGAAAAAAGTGTCTATTTAATTTAAAAGTTCATTATTATCAATGTGTATATATAAAAATATATATATAAATGTAACAGTATATATAAATACATGCGCGCGCTTAATTAACTATTTAATTATTTAATAAATTATTTCTAATTATATGAATGAAGAATTATTATTAAGTTTTGATGCAGTAAATATTTTAGAACTATTTGTTGAATTAAATGAATATAATTAAATTGTATTGAATTAAATTAATTAAATTATTCTTTAGTAGTAGAAGGATTTTTTATTGAAATGATAACGATAATTTGATTTTAATATATTTCTATTTCTTATTGTACCGCTATATTAAGTGCTTGTTCTATATCCGCTAACTGTTATAAAGAAAATGAGAATAAATAAATAAAATTAGATTAAGTTAGAATAAAGTTAGAATTATAGAAATTAATTGTTAATAAATTCATACCAAATCTTCAGTATCTTCTATGCCCACAGATAATCTTATCAAATTATCTGTGACGCCTACTGCAATACGATGTTCTTCAGTAAGTGAAGCATGAGTCATTCTTGCTGGATGTTCTGCTAAACTTTCAACTCCTCCCTAATAAATAATATAATAATAGTATAATAATATAATAATAATTATTAAAAATATAATAATAATAATAATAATAATAATAATAATAATAATAATAATAATAAATAATAATAATAAATAATAATAATAATAATGACATTTACCAATGATTCAGCCAAAGTAAATAATTTAGTACTTTGTAAAAATAAATTAGCTTCTTCATAACCACCTTTAATTTTAAAACTGAGCATTCCTCCAAATCCTTTAGTTTGTTTTTTAGCTAATTTATGTTGTTTATGACTTTCTAATCCAGGATAAATAACTTCTATAACTTTATCTGATTTTTCTAAAAATTTAGCAATAGCCATAGCATTTTCTTGATGTTTTTCCATTCTTAAATGTAAAGTTTTTAATCCACGACTAGCCAACCACGAATCAAATGGTGATGGTACAGCTCCAGTAGCATTTTGAAGAAATCGAAGTTTTTGATAAATTTCTATATCATTCATTACGGCTATACCCATAACTACATCTGAATGTCCATTAATATATTTGGTGACGGAATGAACTACAATATCAGCTCCTAATTCTAATGGATTTTGAAAATATGGACTCATAAATGTATTATCAACTACTAAAATTGCATTATGTTTATGTGCAATTATGGATATTTCACGAATATCAACTATTCGAAGTGTAGGATTTGTAGGTGTTTCAACCCAAACAAGCTTTTGATAAAATTTAAATATGATATAAAAAAATATAAATATATAATATAAATATGAATAAATAAATAAATAAATAAATATATAATAATAATATAAATAAATATGTACCTTAGTATTTTCTTTAAAAGCTAATTCAATATTTTGAGGATCAAGAAAATCAACAAAAGTTGTTTCTATTCCTTGAGTATTTGCTACTCGTTTAAAATAACGAAAGGAACCACCGTATACATCATTTACCGATATTATATGATTACCTGTACCTATCGATATAACAATTGTACTGGTTACGGCTGACCCGGAAGAAAATGCAATACCATATTTGCCATTTTCTAATGATGCTACAGTTTCTTCAAATGCATTTCTGGTTGGATTATTTGCTCTAGAATATTCATATCCCTAAAATTTAATTTTGAATTTATTGAATAATGAGAAATTTATTGATTTAATAATAAAAAATTTTAAATTTATTTAGTTAATGAGAAATTTATTTTAAAATTTTAAAAAAGTTTACCTTATGAATTCCAATGGCAGTTTGTTTAAAAGTAGTTGATAAAGATATTGGAGGAATTACTGCACCTGTAGCTGGATCAGGTTCTTGCCCAACATGTATTGCTCTTGTCCCGAATCCTAATTGTGAAGTTGTCCATTCATCATTAAGGTGATTAAGATGATCGGTTGAGCTTCCATTATTCTCTGTATTCTCTGGAGTAATATTTGGTACCATGTTTCTTTTTATAAAATTTCGTTTTTAATTTAAATTATTTGGGTGATTCTTTTTAATTAATTAGGTGATTACTTTATTTCTTTTAATTTCTGCTTTTTTTTTTTTCTCATCTAAAATTCAGATGCCCTTATATAATTTTTCGATAACAATTATTTAGTAATAAACCTAATAATAGATTAAAATACGCCACGCCATACGAATACATTATGATGATATAAGATTTACTGAAAATTGCGTGCTTAATTTGAAACATTTGAAAATTGATTGGTAATTCAAAAATAATAAATCAATGCATTACTAAGCGATATACATTATTCCCAATATACAAAAAATTTAAGGAAATTACTTTAATAAGGGATTATTCAATAAGTTATTATTACTGTAATAATAAAAGAATAACCATAAATAAAAGAGTTCGTAATGCAACATTGGTTTTGCATGCTTAGTGATTTGTCATGTGAGAAAATATTTATAATCCTTCAATTCAACGTGTTTTAAAATGACCTAATTCAATATATTTTTTTTAATCAACACGGATAATGAATCAAAGCTGATGGTTTTTACATAATGTTTCTTCATCCATCCGAATTTTATTTTCAAATTATTTTTCAATTATAATCATTCAAATATTAAAACTATTATTAATGAGAAAAGAGCTTTCGAAGAAAATAATTGAAATGGAAAGCAGCAGCAAAGATTAAATCATAAAATAAAAAAAAATAAAAAAATACATAACAATAACAATAATAAAAAATTGTTATAATAATATACAGAAGAACAAGAATAATAATATAGTCTAGTAAATAATAATAACTTATAATATTATTATCAAAAAAATAATCTTTTTTTTTTTTTTAAAAAAAAAAATTATAACTCCAAAAAGAACAAGAATAATCTATATTCTTATTATTCTTATTTCTTTTCTTAACTGTTAAGTTGATATTAAGATGATATTAAATTGATTACTAATTTTACCAATATTCATTATACAAAACATTACTCCCTCTTCAGCAAAATCTTCAAAATATATAAAATAATAAAAAACTAAATAATTAAATAAAAACTAAAATAATAAAAATATTTTTTTTTTGGTGTCAATTGTGGTAATTGACTTTTTCATATAACAATAATAATAATTAAAATAAATATGTGTAAATATTTGTGCGTGTGTGAATAAATTACAATGAAAATATGAATTTTAAGATTAGAGAATAAGATCGGGAAAGTAAAAGTCCAAGAATAGTTGATTTCACACAAATAAAAATGGATCTTTTTTTGTGTGTGTGTTTTTCAAAGAGCTGAAAAAAGATCCATTTTTTTTCTTGTATTCAATAAAATAATCTCAAACTTTTGAAAAAAATATGTCTATTCATTTTCTTCATCTCTTACTTTAATCTATTCCCTATGTACAGTATATGCGTGCGAAATGATTCATATTAACATTTTCTATCTTAACAAATTTTCTTGTATTAAAATGCGATTAAATGCGTTACGTTAAGTGTATATATAGATATATAATTGTGTTTAAACGTTTAAAAATCTAAATTTCGAAAACAAGATTGATCAATCATAGGAAGAATCGAAAATCGAAAAATCGAAAACGAATATATTCATAATTAATTATTAATAATCAAAACTGGGTTATGTTTATTGTTGATGTCTTCGTTGATATTATTGATGTTACCATTTTTGTTTTGTCATTCTTTCTGTTTTCGGCATTTTTTAAGTATTTCATCAATATAGTATTTTTCTGGTTCTCTAATCATACCCCTTAATCACCATGCTATATATTTATAAGGTTTTAATGCGATGGAATAATCTAAATCATTAATTGCTTCGTCATATTTTTTTAAATTCCTATATTCCTCTGCTCTATCGCACATGGTGTTGTAATTAGAAGGAAAAATTATTAAGAGTGTAACAATAATTTGAAGGGATTTTTTAGTGATTTTCTGAATTTCGTCTCTGCTGATACTAATGCTGATTGTGGTGCTGGTTGTTGTTGATGAGCTTGAGGATCTTGAGGACGAATGGTCGAAGATGATTTTTTCAGCAAACTACAGATCCAAGTAACCTTGAACGATTTTTTAGGAAGTTCGTTGGACCATTTATTTTCTGGAGAAACAATAAATATACAAAAATTATGTGTATAAAGTTAGTGGATAATTTCTTTTATAGTATATTACTATAATAATAATAATAATAACAATAACAATATAATAATGATGGGTTAAATTAAATAATAACCGAATTAATTGAATTAATTAATTAATTAAGATATAATAATAGTAATAATAATAACCATAATAATTAATTAATAATAATTAACTAATGATTACAATGAGGGATTAAAGAAAGAGAAAATTCAGAAATTAATAAGAGGGGATTAGAAATAATTAACAAAAGAGAGAGAGAAAATGGAGAATTGATATGAGAACTGTTAATAATCAAAAAAATTTAAAGAAAGTCTTTTTTTATTTATTTTAATTAGTTAGTAATAAAGTGAAAAAAAAAAATGGAAAATTAGAAAAAAATAATAGTAAATTTTTTTCATATTCTCATTCTACATTTTCTCAAAGTTTTCAAAGTTCAAGCTGATTTTAAAGGAAATTAAAAGAGGAAGAAGAGATCAACGTTGATTTTAAATAATTTAATAATTAAATTATTATTATAAATTATTGATGAATACATTAATTATTGATTATGATAAGAGCATGATTTAAAAATGGATTAAAAAGAGTGAGTAAAGCATAAGCATAATACACGCACATATATACAATACACATAACACACATTCGCACACAAAGCTCACACAAATACTCGCGCACACTACCATTTTATCACAAAATTTATCCCATATAATATCCATATATTATGTCGTCTTTGATTACTACTTTAATAGTTTTCGTTTACCAACAATTACTCTATTCAAATTTTACATATTTTATTCACATTCATGCTCATATTTGTTCTCACATCACATTCATATCCATATTAAAGTTATTATTAAAGTTATTTATGTGATACAAAAATTATGATGAATAAGATTAATTGTTATCGAATGTGAAACCTTAAAAAATTTTAAACGCGTAAAGATTTAAAATTCATAATTTCTAAATCACATTTATTATATTTTTTTACTTAAAAAGTTAATATCATCAATTTTTGATCTTTGTTTTTGTCAAACAAAAAAGTTAATGACAATAAAGAAAATAACAATGTTGTGATATAAATTAATCAAAAAAATGTTTGTTTTTTAAAAAAAATTCCGTTAAAAAAATTTAAGAAAACCCAATAAGATAAATTTTTACCAAATATGTAATTTTTGTTCACCTATCAATATTACTTTCTTTCTTCATTATATTATGTGTTCATTATATTATTATATTATATTATATGTGGTCATTATATTATTATATTATATTATATCCTATTGTTAATTATTTTCGAATTTTTTTTTTTAATTTTTTAAAAATGATCAACACGGATTTGAAATATTTGTGGAATCGATAAAATTCGGAAATGATTGAAAAATTTGAACATCGATTATTCCTTTATTTGGAATTAGATAGATATGAAATTTATATATTATATGTATTTTGTCTTATTCTTTAAGGTTACTTATAAAAATTTTTCATAGTTTATTATTAAAAAATTAACTTTAATATGTTACAACTTTTGTTAATCATTTTCGAATTTTATCGATTCCACAAATAAAACTTCCTTATCTATTAATATAACAACAAAAATGGTATTAAGTACAGTCAAAGTCTAACATATGGAGCATCTACTGTGAAAATTTCAGATTTTTAAATTGAGAATTGAGTTTAATATTAACGGTTGAATATCGAACGTTTTAAAATTATACTCTAAAGTTTAATCGTGTATTATTCTCTCAATTCTCAATATATAAGGCTGATATTTTTATAAAAGATACTCCATATTTCAGGCTTTAAGATGACTTAATACTATATTTATTGTTAAGTTAATAAATAATCAAGTTTTTTCAGGTATAAACGATCGATATAATTATTTTCGAATTTTTTTAAAATTTTTTTAAAATTTTTTTAAATTTCGGTCGTTTTTATTCACGTCTAATTGATGTCAAAATTTTTATTAGGTACCGAGAAAAACGTCAATAATTAAAGTTTTATATATTATTTTTTGCTACAATTTCATATAAGATAGTTGACATCTATCTTTAATACCCATCGAATGCAGTATAGGTAACGATCTAAGAATAAATTTATTATTTTTTGTCAGTTTCATTTGAAGCGTGATATCTCTATTTATAGATGTTCAATTTTATCACAAAATATATCATATGATAGCCCTAGTTTATGGAAATCTAATAAAAAAAAGTTTGTACAATTTAGATCATTCCACAAATACTTTTGCTAGGGGAGTGTATATATGTATATATATATATATTAAAATATATCTAATACATTTAAATTTTATTACGTAGATATATTCTTTATTAAATTAATAGTTTTTTGTTACAAGAATACCAGAATTACTGAAAATTGCAATTTTTCTTCAGAGTCAGAATGATAAGAATCAATACTGATATATAAACTCTCTTTCACGCTCTCTCGCTTTCTCTTACACGTTCTCCCTCACATATTCTCCCTTACACGCGCTTCTCTCTTGCACACAATATTATCTTTGACATATTTGATAAAACAGTATGAAAAATTCAAGTCTTTTATTTATTTCATAGTTGTTTGTTGATTTTGATTGTATGTTTTTGATTTCCGAGATATCTCTGATATATTGTGATTTTTTCTTTTTTTTTCTTTATCGGATCTATCAGGAAAGTTCAGAAAGTTCAGAAAATTCCAATAATGAAGATTTACTACCTACTACGCATACATATATACCTACCCTACATCCTTTCATACATCCCTACCTTTTTTTTAAGGAAATTCATAATGACAAATTTTTAAAATATCAGATAAACATACATTTTTTGCATACAAAGAATTTTTTTTTTTTTGACATTTAAAGTTCTATTAAAAAATTGATTTGTAATTATTTATATATATATAAACTTTTTTAATTATTAAATTCGTAAAGAATTTAATAGGAATAAATAATTATGTCGAATGTCGTAATTATTATTATTAATTTTTTTTTTTAAAAAAAAAATTATTACTTTATTTATCGTTATTTATCGATACTAATACTGAACTGATTGTTATTAAAAATAAAAAAATAAATAAAATGAGTTCTAATTTCCCATAACAAAAAAAAATAATGATTAATCAATTACACAATATCAAACTTTCGTTGACATTATTATGCACGGTTTATATGTTTGGAGTAATTTCCTTCTTCTTTATCTATTATATTATATTATATCAATACATTGTATTTGCTATATCAAATATTGCATTGAAGAACTTTTTTTTTAGTTCACAAAACTATATCAAAAGAAATACCGATATATATTATTATCATAAGAAAATCATAGACCAATAAAATCTTTAAATAAAAAGAATATTTGAAGAAGATAAGAGTGACAATTTTAATTATTACTAATAATAATACATATATTAAAATCTATTCAACTAATATAAATTATTAATATTATTAATTCTAAAAGTACCAAAAAGAAAAAGAAAGAAAAAAGAAATTAATTATATTGTATTATTATTATAATTATAATTATTATCAGAAGTAACTCTATCCAATAAAACCAACTAACTATTACTACTATACTATTAATTCCTTTTACAATTATTATGATTAGAAATACTTTTTGGTTTCATATAAACATGACATTTATGAGCGTGTCGATACCATAACATTGAATTTTTTTTCTTACAAGTAGTAATAGGAATCCATTGATTACATTGATGACAAAAACCTTCAGTACAATCTCCGGTATCAATTTTACGTGTTTCTAAAGGCGAAACAAACATTTTACCAGATACCGATGAAATTCCATGATAAAATTGTTTGTGATACCTTTTTTAAAATATTAATCAAATCGGTTCCATAAGAAATATTAATAAAAAAAATGAATAAAAAAAACGAATAAAATATTAATAAAGATTACCAATAAGCACTATTTTTCAATTGTAACCATTTACCAGGTTTACAATCATCACAATAACCTTCTTTAGAATGTCCAAAATAACGAACCCATTGTGGAGTATACATATCACCTGAATATTTTAATTTTTGTCTTCGTGGTAGGGCATCTACTCTTTGATCATTTATATCATGTGGAGGTTCAAGAGTTCCTTTAATTTCCAGAATATTATTACTATAATTATTATTAATGTTGTTATAATTATTATAATTATTATAATAATAGTAATTATTATTATTGTAATGATTAATGTTGTTATCATTATAATTATTAATGTTGTTATTATTATAATTAATGTTATATTCATTTAATTCAATTTTTGGTGGTGCTTGAATAAAAGTATTTTGAAAATCTACCGAGGGATTAATTAAATTTATTGATAATAACATATTATTCATATTATTCATATTATTCATATTATTATCTTCTGTTGTCATGATTGAAATTTGATCATTATTATTCGTGTTATTATTATTCATATTTTTCGTTGTTATATTATTATTATTCATTTTCATGTTATTATCCAATGCTGATAATGTTATTTGATGGTATTTCATAAAAGTAGTAGCATTATTATCATTGTCAAATTTATTATTATTATTATTATTATTATTATTATTGTCATCATTTTTCACGTTATCATCTTCATTGTTATTAATATTAATAATATTATTATTAGAATCATCGACAACATTAATATCATTTATATTAATGTTTCCGTCAATTTCGACGTGATCAATTTTTGTGGTATTACAAATTAAATTGATGGTAGTAGAGTTGATTGTAGTAGAGTCTATGGCAGCAGTTTGATCTTGTTCTAAATAGAAAGTAGTAATATTTGTTGTTGAAGTAGTAATATCATTAATTTCCGTAATTTCAATAATATCTTCAGTAATATTTGGTGAATTCGTAGAATTTGTAGAGTTTGTGGTCGTGGTAATAGTGTTGACGGTGGCGGCGGCGGAAGAAGTGGTAGAAGAAGGAAAAGAATAAGGCAAAGAAGTGGAAAAAGAAGAGGAAGAATAAGAGGTGTCAAAGGAGGAGAAAGAAAATGAAGAAGATTGATGAGGAGTTGATGGTGAACTATTATTATTGTTGTTGTTATAAGTCATGGAAGAACCTTTTTTGGAAAATTTCAATCTATTTTAGTTAAAAATAGTAAATCTAATAATGAATAATAAAATTAGATATTCCTTTTGAAAATTATTTGAATTATTTGATTTATTTAAATATATTTTTTTTCTATGGACTTTTAAAAGAAAATTAATTAGTTTATTAGTTTAGAGATAAATAATTGCCTAATTTTAAACACGATAGTAATAATAATTTTTATATTAACTTTATGATAATTTTATAATTATTTTACTAAAGATTAAATGTGAACGATAGCAAAAGAAGAAGTTTAAGCAGTTGTTGAGTTGATACTAAAGAATAATTTTTATTTATCTGATCATTTTCACATATATTTATTTATTTATTTATACTGTTATCTGTTTAGTGGTTGTGTGTGCGTGTGCGTGCTGATAATGATAATAAAGTATATTTTTAGTTTATCAAAAAAAGAAACGTTGGAAACTATATATAAATAAATAAATAAATATATATGTATATATAGTATGTATGTATATTTGATCAAATGAAAATAAATAACTGATCAAGAATATGATGATATCATTTATGCGTAATAAAGATGATGATGATTCAAGAATAACTCCGCGCGAGGCTTTTTTTTTTTTTTGATGGAATGCTCAAAAATGTCGTTTCGATCATTTCGATCACTTCGGCATTATTTGTTATTATTTATTGTTCAACATTGTAACATTGTAACATTGTGTGTGATTTATTTAAATGATGATGATGATTGATCAAAGAAAATAAAATAATACAAAATAACTTTTTAATTTCATAAATAAATAATAAATATATGTACAGTATATGAATTAAAGAAAGCAATAATTTTAGTATCAAGTGACTTAAATAAACTAACTTAATATTATTTGTTTTTATAAAAATTATTATTTTTAGTTTAGTAACTTATTAAAAGTTTATAAGCTAAAGTAATTATATCACATGACTTGAATGACTCCATGTTCAAATTTTGATTATTTTTCGCTTTTTTTTTTTTTAATCTCAAAAAGAAAAAATGTTCAATCAATAATCAAGTAAAATTTTGGCATTGCATTGTAATAATTATAAATATCAATAATATCAATAACATTAATTATATCAATAATATCAATATGAATATATGTATGTAGCAAAAAGAAGTAATTAAAGATATCAAAAAGATATCAAAAGAAAAAGATATCAAAAATTCCCCCCAAAAATCATCAGCATTTCTATATAGATTGAAGAAAAAATACTATATAAAATTTTTAAAGATTTTTAAACATTGATATCAATTATTTCTCTGATTTGTTAAATTTTAAAAATATAAATAATATATATAACAAAAGTTATAAATTTGACATTTATTTAACATCAACATTTGATATTATATTAATTTTGGTTCAACATTAGAATTGAAATAAATTGTTGTATTAGGAGTTTTAATAAATAATGATATTAATAAAAATATTTATTGATAAATGTAAAGACTGATTGAACAATTTAAAATTATTTTTTTCAATACTATTAAAAAAGATATCAATTTAATCATTTGTAATATGTTTGTAATTATATGTATACAGATATACAAATAAATAATAATATAATATATAATACATTTTTTTAACTTAATTATTAAATATCCAAAATTATTATATATTTAATCTATACATATACTATTGAATTAAGTCAAATGTAATTAAAAATAAATTGAAACAAAGGTACTTTTGACAACATGTATAATTTAATCCATTACTTTTTACAAGGTTTAAACTAAACATACCCAGGTCAAGCACAAAAGAATAGGTGCATCAGGAAATTTTTAAGAATGAATATATTCAGATATATTTGATTATATCCACATTAAAATATTTGAATTTATTTGGATATATTCAAATATATATTCAAATTTATCAGGATATATTTGCATATGTAAATTTATCCAGATATATCTGAATAAATTTGCATATATTTGTATATTATATGAATTATCTAATAAATTTGTAAAAATACTGTATATAGATAAATTTATTTAATATATGAATATATATGAATTTATTTAGATATATAGTGGCTTCCAAAATAAATGCACTACTTTTAACTTTAATTTATAGCACATGTTTTAATAATGACATTATAAATTTATATTTATGATAAAATAGAGATTAAAAAAGTCTTAAGTAATGAATTTCATGTTTAGTTTAATAATATTATATCATTGAAATTAATTAATTTATAAAAAAGTGAATTTTCAATTTTTTATTCAGGATAATAACAAATAAAATAAATTTCAGAATTTGATTCTATATAAAAAAATTACTATATATTTGAAAAATCAAACAGATTGAATCACTAGTTATGGAGAAATTCAAGTTCAAAATTTATATAATTTCTAGAATACACTATGAAAATCATTGATTTTTATATTTTTTAATTTTTGAACTTAAATTTCTTGGTAATTAGTAATTCAATCTATTTGATTTTTTAAATATATACTAATTTTTTTATATAGAATTAGATTCTGAAATTTATTTATTTGTTATTATCCTGAATAAAAAGTTAAAAATTTACTTTTTTATAAAATAATTAATTTCAATGATATAATATTATTAAACTGAATATGAAATTCATTATTTAAGACTTTTTTAACTTCTATTTTATCATAAATATAAATTTATAATGTCATTATTAAAACATGTACTATAAATTAAAGTTAAAAATGATACATTTATTTGGAAGCTACTGTATTCAAATTAATTTATATACAAATATATTCAGATAAATTTGAATAAATTTGTAGATATATTTGGATAAATTTATATATACAAATTTATGTAAATATATTTGAATATATCTAGATTATACTTGTATATAAAATAAGCTATCATAGTAAGTTGAAATATTTTGAATCTCAAAAGTCAAAATTCAGGTATTAAATAGAGAATAAATAAATATAATATTTATTTCAAATATTTATTAAATATTTAATAAATGGTAAATTTTTATAACTTCATGATTTGTAAATTGTAAAATGATTTTTTATTATTAAAATTTTTTGAAATAAAAAAAAAATCTTGTTCTTGATTACAAAATAATAAATATTGATATTACTAAAATAAAACATAGTCAAGAACAAGGCTTTTTTTTATTTTAGAAATATCTTGGTAAAAATCATTCTACTTAAAAAATAAAAAAATTTTTCAAATATTTTTATATTTTTTTTTACTTTTTTTTTTAAGTTAATAACTTTGCTAATATTGATATTACTGAGATGAAATACATACCATTTTGTAGTCAAGAACAAGGTCTTTCTTTCTATCTTGAAAATTTCTTAGTAGAAAATTACTTTATATTTCACAAATTACAAATAAAATCAAAAAAATACAAAAATCTTTCATTGATCATTGCCTATAAAATTTCTTGATAATTCATAAATTCAAAACTTAATATATACTTGCATACAAAATTATTTTGAGAAAAAAAGTTGAAATTTTTTAACTATCCAGATTTATTTTTTGATTAAATATATATATAGCTAGGTATTTTTTTTACTTCTATATATAGAATAGATTCTGCATAAATCTCAAAAAGTTAAAATACTTCAAAAATCCAAAATCAATTTTAAAAACATATATAACTTAATAAACATCATTTAATCCTATTTGTATTCCTTAAACTATTAAGCAGACAAATATGTCTACTTAAATTATTTTTGATCTGTTTTTATGTAATTACAAAAGATTTTATAATCATACTACTCCTTTCTTATGTAAATCTGAGAATATACTATATTGCCAATTGTTCCATAATTCCCTTTCCATTGTTTTTTTAACAAAATTTAAAATTTCACCTTTCAAAAAATTCTGGAATTATAATATTATGTCCTCTTTAACTAAACTGAATACACTGCTCTCAAGTTTAATTTTAAGTTTATCTCCTCTTGAAAATATAGAAGTATATACTAATGATAATGAAAAGCATATTTTACTTTTGACATCCTGCTAATGTTCATTAAAATATCCAGAATTAAATCTTGAGGATAAGAAAGAACATATCATAAGTATTTGTAAGAGTAGACACAAATCAACAATACAACTATTATTACCATCTCCTAATTTTTTCTGTTTCATTTATCTGAGATTACTACATCACGTATTTATTAATTTGTTACTACAATATGAAACCAATTTTTCAAAACCAGTTAACCTTTTTCTTCTTTTTTTTTTACAAATAATAATTTAGACACAATAGTTACAAATAGAAATTTGTATTCTTTATTAAAAAATGCTAGTAGTGTTAATAGACAGTAGCAAAATATAAATCATAAAGAACTAAATATTTGAATCACTTTGATTATTTATCAAGAACTTTTCAAAACATCTTCTCTTAATTATTACTGAAATAAGAATATAAAACTTTCAATTTATAATATTTTTAAGTAAATGTTATTAAATCATTTTGAACAAATCAAAAGATATTTACATGTCTCTTTTTTCATAGTTACGATCAACAATTACTTTGAAAAACTGGAATTATTACTTTTAAAAATTCAAGATATTTCAAAATAGTATTATACCTTAAGTTTAAATGTTTCAGTGAATAAAATGATGGTATGATTTTCTGAAAGAAGTATCTATACTATTAGAATAAAGAACAAATTAACTTCTGAAGGTTTCAATATCTTGTTACTTTGTAAATCTGAATATACATACACTTTCTTGTCAACATTACACATCTTTTCAAGTGATGTATCAAAAGTGAATGACTTTAATCAAATTAGATGTTTTGTTCACTATCTCATTATATAATTTTCATATTATCGATTTTCATTTAATGTTTACATAGATAATTATTTTTCTAATATTTTTCTATTTCAAAATCTTTAGCAAATAGACATCAGTACTTGTAGAACTGTCTATAAAATAGCTTCAGAATTTTCAAAAAAACTAAAAATAAATAAAAATATCAAACATTTGTTTTGATGTTATAGTAAATAAAGTATTATCAATTTTTTGTCAAGACAATAAATCAGTAACAATATTATTAATGATCTATAGTCTTTTTGATAAGGAATAGAAAATAAAATGTGAAAGGTAGTGATCAAGAGAAACAAATATCAATACAGTGAAGGTTTAAAAATTTTTTTTCTATTTAATTATTATTTTTAATAATTATTTTTTATTTAATTCTTTTTTTTTATTATTGTAAATTGTTAAGGCATATATGGTTTTTGGCTCTGAATCTAAAAAAAAATTAAAAATTTTCAAAATAATTGATGATTACAACCATTATATAAACGGAGTAGATGTTGTGAACCAATTACAATTGTATTATAATACACAACAAATGGTGATACTATCTATTGGGAGAGCAAGGACAACAAGTACTTAGGTTTAACCTGGTAGTTATTAGTGAGTTTGGAAATATTGAAAGACAAATAATACTAAAGTAACTAATATTCTATACTATAGGATAATAAAAGTAAAGAAACTGAATAAACAAAGAAGAAACAATTAAAGGAAGGATAGTAAATATAAAGAAGAGAAAATATGACAAATTCTAATCTAAAGAAAATAAGAAATAAAATGGAAAGTTTTGCTAGGACTTGATAAAGATTTAAAGGATGAATAGGTTCAAAGAATGAAAAAAGTAAATTTCAGCTAAGTCACATGACAGTTTGAGTAAAAAATTAAAGATCAATAGTTTATTCTTAGATTTTAAGACTCTGGATTATACAATATAGACTTTATTTATAATTTATAAACAGATGCAAGGAGAGAAATTAATATATATATAACTTATTTATAGATAACAATAAAGATTTTATTAAGAAAATAAAGAAAGTGCAAGAAGAAATAAAATAAATAAAGCATCTATCCTAATTTCACTCAAAAACTATTTAAAGGATTAATCAAAGTTTATAATACTAATGTTGATTGTTAATTGATTCTTCACTAATTATTTTTTAACTGATCAATTAATATATGAAGAAGAAAAATTAAAGCTACTTTTATAGTTATTCCAATTCTATTCTAAAAATATAAATTAATCTATCAATTGATTACATGATGAAAGAAGAAAAAAGAAAGAAAAAGAAAGAAAATATCAAAATAGACTCAATTCCAATCTTACTTAGCTTTTTGGCCATTGTGGAGATAGTGGCAGTTCAAAACATTTGCATATTTGTCTTGATAAGTAGTCTTTCTTTAGGAAAAATAGTTACCATCTAAGCAAAATGGCATTTTTCACAATAATCTGCAATAGATCACAATATACACAGTCCGCAGTATTTCAGAAGTCATGTGGCACATAACTGATACAGTTAAAAGAATTAAATATAAGTGAGAAAAAAGAATAAAGAATCAAGATTTTTAGAACAAATTCGGAATGGAGGAGATGGTAGAGAGGATGAAAATGAAGTGGATAGTACAGGTAAGTGATAATAAGTATTGATAAGTAATATTAAAAAAAAAGAGAAAGGAGAAGAAGGGAGGTGGTGATAATTAAAAGAGAAATTATATAGACAAAAATTAAAGGTGATAGGTGTGATGGAGTGAAATGTGACAACAATAAAGAAGATAAAAAAAAAATAATAACAATGGTATAACAGAATTGGATGTCTCTTTTTTTCTGGCTGTTAGATATTGCAATAATTAACTTCTATCAGATTATTCAAATGTTAAGACCAATACAATAGCAAAAAGAATTTTGCCATGAACTTATTTGAGATTTTATAAACCTTGTAAATGATACCACAGAAATTCAATTGAGAGTTGGCTCAAAAGAAACAAAAGAAATAAAAAAAAAATAAAATAACTGAGAGTAACAAATATTGAGCTTTTGAATTGATGACTGATACCTGAAAATCATTTTATAGAATGGAAAGAGAAACAAAACAATAAAAATTTGAATATAATTGTAAAATGCCATATCAAAGCCAGCTTTGATGTATAGTATGTAATGTACCTCTCTGTTGTAATAGTAATCAGAATTGTTTTATTGGTTTTTATACTAAAGAATAATAAAAGATTTAATGGTAATATTAGTTTTTTTGAATTAAATTATGATGTGACTACAAATTTATCATGTGACCTACACTTCTGGAAATCACCCTAGTCAATTTGAGTTGCTTTCATAAAAAAAAAATTTGCAGGAGATAATTTTTTCAATTATTTAGAATTCTTAAAATTCTTAATAATAAATTTCATTTATTAAATTTATTAGTATTGTCCTGTTAAATAAATTACATTTATTTTTTTTTTTTTGATTTATTAAAATTTAAAATCAATTTATTTTGATTATTGATATCTTGTTTCTAGACTTTATCTGATAAAAATAAATTGTACTTCATACAAAAAATGTGATTTGTTAGTTTTGAGATGCAAGTTGTTTCTTGGTAGATATCTATTATTAGATAACTACATAAGTTCTTCAATACCAATATTGTCACTGTGAAATTATATTAATAGTATTTAAGTTATTCTGTTACAAATGAATCTTTAGAACTGGTTCCAATCAAAATATATAATCGTATGTTAATATGTGTAAATGTTTTTCTCCATAAGTGAAGAATAATTTTTACTTCAAATTTTTTGACAACGTATTTGATTTTCACTGGTATAATTTTCGGGCTTTCATTTTTCTATATTCTTTGAACTACAAGTGTTTTCTTTTGTCATCTGGAAATCTCTCTATATAGGTTTGTGATTTTTTTTTTTTGAGAAGTATCTTCCAGGTGCAATGTTAAATTTCCAGTCTAAAAAAATCAGAAAACCTTTTATGGTATCCACGTGCGAAAAAGTTTATCAATCAGTAAGAATCTGATTGGCCAAAATTAGAAAATTTTTTTTTATAAAAAAAAGTATTGATTTTTCAGAGTTCAAATAAAAAAATGGTAACCTTTAGTTGCGACCAATGTGCCGACGTTATAAAGAAGCCCAAACTAGATCAGCACAAAAACGTGTGCCCAAGCGCGGTTTACACGTGCCTTGATTGCTCTAAAACTTTTAGTGGAGCTACCTATAAGAGCCATACAAGCTGCATAAGTGAAGCAGAGAAATATCAAAAAGGGATGTTCAAGGGAAAAAAGGTATGTAAAGCCTAATTTATCGTCATAACTATCAAACTCGAATAGTTTATATTTTGTTATTAGATTTTAAAAATGGTAAACTAAAAATTTATTTTATCTTAATACGATTTCATTTCACTTTACAGCAGCAGCAACAATCTCCCAATAAATCAAATCAAATATCAGTGAGCACGTCAAACGAGAAATCTTCTAGTAAAAAAAACAAACCGCCAAAAGAACAAACTCAAATTACCCAAAATGAATCCGGTCAAACACCACCAAGTTCACCAAAAAAGCTAACACCAAATAAGTCAAACCTAACGCCAACAGGTTCACCGAAAAAGCAAACTCCAGATAAGTCCGATCAAATGCCAAAAAGCTCACCGAAAAAGCAAACTTTAAATAAGTCTGATCAAATACCAGTAAGTACATCAAAACAGGAACAAGAATCTCTTGAGGAGAATGAACAAAAACGAGGCTCAAATAAAAAGAAATCATCTAAGAAACAAAAAAAAAATCTTGATGATGATGTTGATGATAAAACTAAAGATAATGATCAAGACAAGGTCGTCCAAGAAATGAAAAATAGTGAACAAGTTGAAACGAATAACAATGTTGGAGGTTTGAAAAAGAAAAGAAATAAAAATACATCAGCCAACAAAGATGAATCTATAAATAAAGATGATAAGAACAAAGAAGAAAAGAACAAATCTCAACGAAAATTTGAACATAAAATTAATAATAGAGAGAAAAATAAAATTATTGATGAAGGAGATTTATCAGTTAATAAACTAACTTTCGAGAATAATAAATCTCAAAAGGCTGACATTGACAATAAAGATTCAAAGAAGCGAAAAGCCGAAGATCAAACGGATGATAAGCCCGATGAAATTTCTGGCAAAAATTCAAAGATGGAGAAATCAAAATCTCAGTCAGTTAAAGAAAAAAAAGACTTGAATAATCCTAATTCTAACATAATTACAGTTAGTAAAAATAAAAAGAAACAGAAAAAAAATAAAAATTCAAACGAAAAAGATTCTCCCGATACCCCCGATACCTCTCTCGTTTCTCTCACTTCTCTCACTTCTCTCCTCGGAATAGAAGATAAAGAAAAGAAACCTACCAAAAATGGAACCAATGGAACAAATAATAATAAAAGAAAAGCCAATGAAATAGATGTTGCTGAAACTTTAAAAGGCAATAAGCAAAATACTGAGGAAGTTAAGAACAAAAAGAAAAAGAAAAATCTCGAAAATAAAACAGGAAAGGGTAATGAGATCGCAAAAATTGATTACAAACTTGCCATCCCCGAAGCATTAAAAAAAATTTCGAAAGTAAAAAAGGTAAAAAATTTAAATTGTAATCGAATTATATATTTGTTAAATTTTTTTTTTGTTTGAATACTAAATTTTCATGATTTATTTTGTAGAATAAACAAATATCACTTAAACAATTAGAAAAGTTGGTGATTAATCAATTTAATTCTGATCCTAAAAATACCGACAGTGCTGAGGAATTGCATCAGCAATTTATCGAGAACATTAAATTTGTTTGCAAAGATGGAAATTTTGTATTAGAATAATAAGTGAATTAAATATTCTTTTTTTTTAATTATTTTAATTATTTTAATCAATTTATATTTTCGTATATATATTTTTACATCGAATTTTCGATTTATTTTTATTTAAATTTATGGACGAGGATTTAAACAGTTAGTTTGGTTTTTGTAGTTACGTAATTATCACGTGACGAAAATTATATATTGTAACCTTAATACGATATATATAGAATGAATAACCCTTATTATATTAAAATATTTTGCGGGATAGTCGAATTTGGAATTTTTAATATTTGATGATAAAAATTGAAGTAGTTTCTTGACTAAATGTTTCACTAGGTTGTATGTGATATTAGTTAAGAATTTAAAATTTAAATCTGGTAATAAATTCAATTTCTTTAATTTTTTTAAAAAAAATATTCAAAAAAGTGTTGTATTCTTAAAAGTAAATAATATAACCGTCATATGATAACTAATAAAAATAAGAAAATAAACAAAAAAATCCAGTAATTAAATATTAATACTATTTAATTTAACTATTTAATATTATTTCCTCGAAAATTTAATTCTCTTCAGAAGTAGATGTAGATCCAGCTATTTCAAGAATAGGATTAGTGGGTGGTTTTGTTTTATTTCTCTTGTAAAAGATAATTCCCAAAGCAACCAAAATAATAAGAACCAATCCTCCTATTCCAAGTCCTAAACCTAAACCTAAAGCTTTTGATCTTTTTGGCCCCGGCTCGCTAGACGCGTTAAATGTATTAGATATAGGTGGAGGAGTATAAGTTGTGACCCATACGCGTTTATATATATCAAAAAGATATATTTGAGAATTCATAGCTAAATTAACCATATTATATCCTAAGAACATGAATTTGATAATAAAGTAATTGTTTAATAATATTTATATTCAATAAGAAAATTTCATTAATAAATTTTACTTTACCAAATGTAACTATCATATAATCTCCATATAAATTTGCAGAATGACCAAATAAGTATGGAGGAGAACTTGATGGAATTGACCATTCATAAATATCCTTGTTTGTATTTAATATTGCAATTTGTGTAATAATTGGTGAATAATACTTTGCAACACCTCCAAGTATAATAATATACCCATCTGGAGCTGTATAAAATATTTTGTTATTAATAATAATTTCTTAAAGATTCGTATAATCTTATAATTTATAATTCTTACTTAATACAGAAGAATGATATACTCTTGAGTCAATAGTATCTCCTCCAGTAACATTCTTAAAATTATTAGATCATAATTAATTTATAATAAATAATTAATTTATAATAATAATATTGTAATAAATTGACAAATACCATTTGTGACCACTCCGATCTTTTTGTATTAAAGAGTTTAAGCTATTTGATTATTTGGATATAGCAAAAAAAAAATAAAAAATAAAAAATAAAAAATAAAAAATAAAAAATAAAAAATAAAAAATAAAAAATAAATAAATTAAAAAATTATGTATAAGTAATTTATCATTTATCATTTACCATTTTCATACTTGAAAGAGTCAAATTCTCATTTGTGTAATTTCCTGAATCATTTTCACTCTCAAATCCTCCAAGATAAACAATAATACCATTTTTCAAAAGATTAGCTGTATATGCACTGCACGAAAAAGGAAGATCAAGAAATATATTTAATTTTGTCCAAACTGTTGAAGAAACATTAAATATTTGCATATCATTGTAGAGTTTTCCTTCGAATTCCATAACATTACTATAATTAGTAACATTATTTCCGCCGTAAATATATATAATTCCTTTATCATCAATTACTCCTGATATTTCTGCTCTGGTAATAGCACCATTAGATTCTATAGAAGTCCATGTAATAGATGAATAATTATACATATATATCAAATTTGAATAATCAAGATTTCCAGTAGTAATATTTGTCATGTAACCTCCAATTAGATAAATTATATCATCATCTAATGTACTAACTAAAGCAGTTGAAAAATACTCATATATTGGAAGATTTCCTTCCAGGATTAAATCCCATTGTGGATTTAAGTTATCAAATTTTTTTGTTAAATCTAAATAAAATATTTCAGAAGATGTATATGTTTTTGTTAAATTCGTTGAATTTTTCCATCCACCAAATACTAAAAGTCGTTCATGAATTATTACACTATTATGGCCAATTCGAGTTTCGGGTATATAGCATGAAATTGGATTGATTAACAATGTAATACAAAGAATTATAAGACTAAACGAAACCATTTTTTTTAAAAAAAGGTGAGTTTAGCTAAAAAAAAAAAATCCCGCCTTAAATCGTTGCCAATTTGGCGATAATTCAATTCATTGTATAATGACAATGTGAATTGGTTGTACTAAATTTTCTTTTGGCAATGATCATAATCAATTCTATTACGAAATGTACGAAATGTCAAATCCTTTTATTAAAACTTATTATGGGATGAAATATTTAGGAGCTCGTCAAGTATTTGTTAGAAGGAATAATATTAGAATATTCAAAATTATAATACAAAGTCTTCGTTTAAACATTAAATAGTGTTAAAATACGATAAATAGAAAATCTCTATAAATTTGCACGTATTATATAATTATGTAAACTTGATTCTTCATTTTCGGTTACTGAAGGAACCTTGGTAATAATAAAATATTTAATAGATTCGTAGGGTTCAAAGTTTTAAGTACCTTCCATTTTATCTGTAATTCATATTTTTTCGTCATATGTATATAATTACTGCAGTGTGTACGTAAATTATGCCGTTTCCTGTAATGGTGATCTTAGAGGAATATGATATATGATAATATTAAATATAATGATATCTTATGTATAAGATATAACGACGACATTTGTATTGCCTTGAAATATTTGCATGCATGTAATCTATAAATTCCAATTTTACTCTATATTTTGCAGTGAAATATTAAGATCAGTTATACACCAATTTCGAAAAAAAAAAGAAAATCATTAATAAATTGCAAGAAATAGTAATTATACGCTTGAGATTCTTTACATACGTGAGATATTGTTCTTGCTGAAAATAAGATAATGCTCGCCCATTTATCTATTTGATAGTATCCAATTTGAATTTGTCCAAACGTCACAATAAAAAGTATGCTAAGGTTTCTCTAAAAAAAAAAATCCTGAAATATATGACAGAGATAATATAACCTTGCAACCAAGTAAGTCTACCCAAACAGGTGTAAATGACGTTACAAATCTTGTTATGAAAAATATCATGCCACTAATGTTAATGATAATTTTGTTGATATTGGAAACATAGTGTTGAGGACGTGTTTTAAATAAAAAGAAAGAGATGAAAGTATTATGTACCTAAATAGAAAGAAATAAAATGTAAGCTAAAATTTTGATTTATGACGTATATATATATATGACGTATTTGTTTATTTATATTCTGATCTAATGTTAACATCTCTTACCATTGTAGTGGTTGAATTTTAAGAAATTTTATTCTTTGTGGGAACTTGATTTTTATTACAAAATTTATATACACAAAATCCATTTCTTGCTTGAATGAACAACAACAACATTAGGGTCGATCTAGATTTTTGAATATTACAAAATAATTTTGTGTTGGTATTGTCGTTCTTTCCTTGGTACAAAAAAAAAAATAAATAATAATGGCTTTCGGGGGTAATTATTTTTAGAAAACAATATTTTAAAAAATGTGCCACATAAAAAGATTTACTTTGTGATTTAACTAAATATATGTCAAAATTCAACATAAACAATATTGTTTGATTTTTGCCTTTTATGATATTTTTTAATATTCATAATATTTATTTCGATATCTAAAAATAATGTAATTATATAAATTATATATTTTGCCTTGTTTTCCTAATTATTGACGAAAATTTTTAATCGCACTAGTGGTGTTGACCATTCACTTGGTCACCATATTATTAAAAGATGACATCATCTGTCCATGTGACATATCATATCTCACGAAATTCGTATTTATAACAAAGTATTAGTATTTTATAATTTTCCTAAAAATTATTTGATTAAATATTTCTTTGTGACCAACAATTGTGAATATTGAAATCATAAAAGTTTATTTACATACTTTATATAAAAAATCGTGGATTTAAAAATGTTTTGATTCAAATTACTTTCCGATTCATTTTTCATATGCGACATTTGGAAATAGATTTATTGCAATAATTTGTAAACTTTATAAACTTTAACAGAAGGATTAAACAAAAAAAAATAATACAAATATATCATCTTTCATGATTGCAACTTTCTTTTATTATTAAAATTAAAATTTTGAAAAAGGGATTGAAAAGGTAATCATATATATACATATATATAATCAATAATTAAGAAAGCTAATAAGAATTGAAACTTCTACAAATTTTCCAATAGTTTTATTTTTGATAAATCTGATTATGTATTAGATATATTTTTACGATAGAAAAAAAAAAGTATGCGAAATAAGATTATTTATTATTTTGTTATTTTTTGTTGTTTTTATTAGAGCGAGGTTCAATTTTTGGCTTTTTTTTTTTCTTTTCTTACTTTTTTACTTGTTTCTTTCTCATTATTATTTTCATCGTTTAACATGATATTACTTTATATTTTTAGAAGGAAAACTATTTATTATATATATTTACTTGAGCAAGACTATAAATAGAACAATGCTAGAAATACCATGAGTCATTTTATTTTACTTTACTATCTTTACTATTAACTATTTTTCATGTATTTTTAAAATGTGAATAATATTAAATAAGAAGATACTAGCTGATACTTATACATATTACTTAACTAGAATAGTTTGAATATTTAAATAATAATTTTTCTTCATTTACTTTTATATTTAAAATTTTCAATAGAAATTGTATAAGAAGAATACATAAAATAGAATAATATTATTTTTATTCATCTTTTTATCAAAGTAAAAAATAATTACGTAATAAAATTCTTACCTAAAATTTTATTAAATTTTATTTGACACAGTATTTCTATGCATTATGATTCCTGGAATTAATGTATTAAGACAAGCAAATATGAGGTTGTAACTCATAGTTGCGACAATGCCGTAATCCGTAACTCTGGCCGCAATGCCAAAAATCGGAAATAAATAATTAGGATAATCTCTTGTGATAATTATGATAATTATAAACCTCGAAAAAAAAAAAAAACTGAATCGTAAAAATAATTAATTATGGATAAATTTAATTACCTTACGGCTTTTAAACCATTTTTGGTATTTTTGATAATCTCGGAATTAAAATAAAAAAAAATTATGATCCTTATTTAAATGAAATATATAAATTATCGTTTTATTTTGTTCATTTCACTACGTTTACTAATTGGTCGCTCATGTTAATTTTGATATCTTTTTAATATTTTCATGGCAAATTTATTATTTATTTTATTAACTGTCCTTTTCATTTTTTTCAGTTTCTTTATTTTTAAGTATTAAACTTGCGGATTGAAAATTTAAAGAAAATATTTTTATTTTTTTTAATAATTTCTGTATTTTATAAAAAATAAAATAATTAATTAATCTAATTTAATATACTATTTTATATTCAAAATAGTTTATTGATGACGTGCGCTTTTTTTTTTTTTTTTTAATCAATAAAATTAATAAAATTATTATGAGCGTGGTATATCTTATACATATCTTTCGGCTTTTAATATTTTTGATAATCTCGGAATTAAAATATGACCCTGTTTAAATAAAATGTATAAATTATCTTTTAATTTTGTTCATTTTGCTAAAACGATCAAATAATATTTTTATTTTTTTTATTTTATTTTAAAAGAAAGAAAGAAAAATGTTTGACATTTTTCATAAATCAACTAATTTCACAATTAACGATATTCCTGACCTTCAAGGAAAAATCGTAATTGTGACCGGAGCAAATACAGGAATAGGATTCATTACAGCACAAGAATTAGCACGTAAAAATGCATATGTATTTGTGGCATGTAGAAATCAAACGAAAGGTGAAAAAGCGGTAGATGAAATAAAACGGGTGACAGGAAATGATAAAGTAGAATATTTACCATTAGATTTATCAAGTTTAAAATCGGTTCTGAAAGCAACGGAATTGTTTTTAGATCGAAAATTACCATTGCATATTCTGTAAGTTAATAATATATATAACATAAAATTATCTGTTACGGTAAAAAATATTTTATTAACACTTAAATTTAATTTAATTTTAATTTTTATAAATTAGTATTAATAATGCTGGAATAATGGGAACGTAAATTTTAGATATTTTTTAAAAAATTTTAAATTTTTTTTTAATTTGAAATTTATTACAATAGTATTTATTAATATTGTACAATAATATTTTTTCTAGTCCTTTCACTTTAACAGAAGATGGTATCCAAGATCAATTTGGAATCAATCACATTGGTCATTTTGTATGTAATAGAAATATATAAATAAATAAATAAATAAATATATATATATAATATATATATATTATTATTATTATATATTAATAGTAACATATATTATAATGTGTACATTTTAATATATTAATAGCTTTTCACAATAAAACTCTTGCCCACAATTGAAGCTTCTGCACCTTCTAGAATAGTCAACATCACCAGGTAATTTTTTTTTTGCTCATTAAAATACTGATTTTGCACTAATGAAATGAATTTGCTTATGAAATCTTATAAATGAATTATTAATTTATAATTATTATAGTAACGGATATAGTCACGTCCCTAAATGTGGAATTGATTTTGAAGATATAAATAATCCCAATGCTTATAATACGTATTCAAGATATTGTCAATCGAAATTAGCAAATATTTTGTTTTCCTTAGAACTTAATAAAAGACTCGCTGATAAAGAAGTTTATGTGAATTCTGTTCATCCAGGTATTTATTATTATTATATTATTATCGTAATCAATATATAAAATATATATCATAAAATATATATCATAAAAAGATAATATATATATATATATATATATATATATATATATAAATATAGGTATCGTCAAAACAGAGATATTTCGTAATTTGAAAGATAGTACGGGATTCATGGTGAAATTAATAACTAGATTATTCGTGACTCCAGTTGAAAACGGAGCCATGACATCACTTTATTGTGCTACCAGTCCAGAAATTTTTGAAAAAAATTTACGAGGAAAATATTTTGAACCAGTTGGTAAATTAGTTAACCCCAAAAAATTAGGAACTGATGAGAATTTGGCTTTAAAATTATGGGAATACTCGGAAGAATTAATTAATAAAAAATTGAATTCTTAATTTTTTTTTTTCTTCTCTTTCTCTTTCTTCCCGGTGAAGATTAGAATTAAATTATTTAACTTGAACATAGTACAAAATTATTTTTCGGATGTAACAATGATTTATTTAAATTCTTTATATTAAAGTTTGTACCTCAAACCTTTCTAAAATTACGAAAGGAAAATTAAATTCTAAAAAAAAATGACATTTAAATTCTAAAAAAAAATGACATTTAAATTTTTAGAAAAGTTCCCTCAGAATTTCTGAAGAATGTTATTATTGAAGTCGATCAACAATAATAGTAATAATAATAATAATAATAATAATAGTAATAATAATAATAATAATAATAATAATAATAATAATAATAAAATTGTTACTAAATTAAATATTTCTGTTCAACTATTGGAAATTAATTATTCTCAAGTAAACTTTAAGCTTTTATATAATTTAATTATCTACAGCAAATTATTAATTATGGAATCGATGAGGAATTATCTGAGAAATTCTTATCGCTTTTGGATTATGTAATCAGCACAGAATTAGACATTATAACAACATTATTATACTGCCAGATCAACCAATAGAATTTATTATCCTTCGAGAATTTTTTTTTTGAAACAATTTATTAAATTTATAAAAAATCAATAAACATAAATTCGATAAATTCAATCACTATAATCACTATGAATATTATAACTGTTCAAAAGAAACAACAACTACAACCTTGGCATAAAGATCCCTTATATGGAAATGTTTGTATTTGTTATTTCACTTCAAAATATTATTAAATTCTCTATCTTCTTTTATCTAACATATTTTATAAAATAAAAATAAAATGAAATTTAATAATAGTTAATACCACAAATTCAGTCATTTTTATCTTCTCTTCTAATTGATAATAATAATAATAATAATAATAATAATAATAATAATAATAATAATAATAATAATAATAATAATAATAATAATAATATTGATGAGGCAAACAGAATTCTTAATTATATCGTGAGCATTATTTAATTGATTATTTATTTAATTAATTATTTTATTTATTTATTTATTTGTTAAAGATTTATTTAATTATTTAATCAATAATTACAGAGCAAATCAAATAAATTGTTGAGTTCGACATTAAAGAAATCAAGATCATTTCTTATTCAAAAATTAATTAGGAAAATTAGAAAGATTCGAGAAAATAATAAAAATAATGAAGGTAACAATGAAGATAATGATGATGATGATGATAATAATAGTAATGACAGGTAGGTAAAATTTAATACATAAGATGCGAGAGATATTAAGATTTATTATTCATTATTAATAATTCTAAATATTAATAATAATTCTAAATAATAATAATAATTCTAAATAATAATAATAATTCTAAATAATAATAATAATAATAATAATAATTAATAATAATAATAATAATAATAATAATTATTCTAAATAATAAATAATATTTAAGTAATAGATCTACAGAAAAAGTTGATAAATTATTAGAACAAATAAAAGTTATAAAGGTAATTGTCATCATCATCATCATAATCATTATTAAATTTAATTTAATTAAAATTAATTTATTTATTTCAAATAAGTCAATCAAACCTCAAGAACTCGCCATAAATCACTTTAAACATGAAATATCTAAAAATTATTATCTCAAATCTCACCCTTTACTCAAAAAAATTTATCTGGAAATTATGCCATCGTCATCGTCATCATCATCATCAAATAAATTATTATTATCATCGGATCTGATGATGAATAATATAATGAAAAATTCTGATGAAAAGAAATCAATAAATTATGATATACCGGAACAAGATAATTTAGATAATATGGAAATTAAATTAGTCAATGAAAAACATGCACGTAATGAATTTGAAAAAAGTATAAATAAATTGATCCAATTGATTCAAGATAATTTTAATGATGATTATGATGAAAAAAAGATAAATGAAAATGATATTAATGATGATAATGATAATGATGAGAAGATGAAGATTAATGAAAACAAGAAAGATAACAAAAAATCATTTCCACAGAAGAAATTAAATACCAAAAATATAAAGATTACAAAGATTATAAAAAAATCCAAATCTAAATCAAAAATTAATACAAAAAATATATCATCAGAATTTATTAGTTCATTGGCAGCAGGGAATTACTCATCTCTGGATGAAAGTAATTATTATGATGATTATAATAATTATAGTGATTATGATGATGATGGTGATAATAAAAAAAAGAAAAATAATCGAATGGGACAACGAGCTAGAAAAAAGTAAGTTAAAATTAATATTTAATATTTATTATTTATTATTATTATTATTATTATTATTATTAATTATTATTATTATTAATTATTTATTGTTATTATTAATGTTGTTGTTATAATTGTTATTACAGGCTATGGGAAAAAGTATATGGTGACAATGCAAAACATTTAGTTAAAACAAATTTAAATAATAATAATAATAACAACAACAACAACAACAACAACAACAACAACAACAATAATAATAATAATAATAAGAGAAGTAATAATATGAGAGGTAATATGAGAGGTGATAATATGAGAGGTAATATGAGAGGTAATATGAGAGATAATAAAGATAATAATAATAATAACAACAATAATAATATTATTATTATTAATAACAAAAAAATAAATAATAGTAATGAACATTTACATCCATCTTGGGAAGCAAAGAAACGACAAAAGAAATTGATGAATGATCAAAAATTTAAAGGCACAAAAATTGTATTTGATGATATTATTTAATGAATTGAATTAATTTTATTTATAAATTGATTAAATAGATAAAAGAAATTATATCAAAATCATTTTCTTTTCATTACAATAATTAAAAGAGAAGAGCAGAGAGGGAAGAGAAAGAAGAGAGTGAAGAGAAAGATTCACCAAATACAACTTTTCCAGCAAATATAGTTGATAATACTTTAGTATCAATTATTTTCTCTTCGGATGTTTGCATAATATCTCTATCTAATATTACAAAATCTGCATATTTTCCTATAGAAATTGATCCCATCTGATAAATATGAAATAATAAAAGATATAATAATATTAATAAATGTAATAATAATAATAAAAAATAAATAAATAAATAAATAAATAACTTACAGTATCTTCACTGAATCCAGCATATGCAGCATCAATTGTAAATCCACGTAATGCTTCTTCGCGAGTTAATTTTTGTGAAGGAAACCATCCATCTTTACCATGTGGCTAAAAATAGAATAAAAATTATACATTATTATTATTTCATTTGAATGAATAGTAAAAATATAAATACTTACAGAATCACCATTCTTCCATTTTCTTGTGATAGCTGCGTAAAAACCTAAAAATGGATTTACAGATTCAACCGGAAAATCTGAAGAAAGTGGAAATACTTTTACTCTATTATTATTATTGTTGTTGTTGTTAAATTTGTGATTAAGTATATTGTTATTATTACATTATTCAATTTTTCTTATTCAATTTTTATTATTCAATTTTTTTTTTATTCTTATTTATTATTATATTTACCCGGCATCAATAAATGAACGCCACGCATAAGCACCTTTAATACGTTCACTGCCTAATCTTTGTTCAGCATATGACATATCAGATGTCGCTAATAAATGATAATAATATGATGTGATGATAAATTATAATAATATAATGTGATAATATAAATAAATTATAATAATAAATCGGGAAAAATATAATAAATAAATAAATCGGAAAGATATAATAATAAATTAGTGTCAAACCATGAGTAGGTTGCATTGAAGGAATGATTTTCAATTCACCAACGCGTTTGATATCATCTAATGTCTAAATATAATTAAATAATTAAATATAATGTAAATATAACTCATAAATATAATGCATAAAATCAATAAATAATAATAATACAATACAAAGACAAGATATTTACCAATATTTGTGCATGCTCAATTCTAAATCTCAATTTCTCTGCCAAATTTTTAACTTGTCTTAATAATTCTTCTTCAGTCAAAATTTTTTTTTCTTCATCATTTGAATGTAATTTTATATAATCTTGAAAACATTTTTCATAGGCATTTATAATTATATTATTAGCTTGATCACCTATACAATGAGTGTTAACTTGAAATCCCTATTAAATAAAATATTATATATATAATAGATAATGCATAGTATATTTCTGTTAAAATAATAATAATAATAATAATAATAATAATAATAATAATAATAATATACTTTTTCTATCCATTGATTAATTTCATGTGGTAATAATTCTGGATTAGATAATAACAACCCATTTTTATTTGGTTGATCTTTAATAATAATAATAATAATGATTAATTAATTAATTTATATTATATTATCAATTATAAATAAAAGTTAATGATTAAAAATCAATTTATTTCTTACCAGAATATGGTTCCAATAATGCTAAAATATAAAATAGAAAATAGAAATAAATAAAGTATCAACAAATACACCACAAATAGACTATAAATAAACCACAAATAAATTATAAATAAATTATAAATAAACTATATATTCATTTACCAGCACCCCAACTACCCAAAGCACCATCCATAAATAATTTTACACTTCTCACAGTTAATCTACCTTCCCCAAATTCATCAATTCTTTCAACTTGATCACCACAATATTTATTTCTATCACATTCAACCATTGCGTAAACACGTATATTAAATTCTTCTGGATTATTTTTAATTGTTCTAGAAATAATAAAAACCTGAGAAGATATAATAATTATAATAATAATAATATAATAATCATTAATAATTAATTATTACCTTTTATAGAAATCAATATATTTAGGAGGTACTGAAGCATCATGAATTCCGGTAAGACCATTAGAATGCATTTCATGTATAGCTGCTCTAAGTCGATTTAATAATTTATCATCTGTTGGTGATAACATTTTATCAACTATAATTAATAAAATAATCGATAAAATAATTAATAAATAGAAATAATAATAATGATAATAATAATAATAATAATAATAATAATATAATATCAAATAATTACAAATAATTACAAACTAATTCCATAGCATTATCCACAAAAATTCCAGTTAATTCATTTGTTAATTTATTTCTACCAATTTCACCTCCATCTATATTTTCAGGAATTTTATCCTTTCCTAAAATATTTAAGACTTTTTCATTTACCCACATCGCATGACCATCAATACGTGTTAACGCTATTGGATATTTATTAAGTTGAGGATCTGAATCTAGATCTTTCTTTTTAATTTAATTTAATTAATATTAATATTTAATAATTAATAATAATAATATTTTTATTATTAAATAATAATAAATTATAATAATAATTACAGAAGTAGGAAATTCTTTAGATTGCCATAATTCTTGATTCCATCCAAATCCAGTAACCCATTCATTTGTATCATCAGGATGCAATTGAATATATTTTTTAACTTGTTCAATGACATCTAATATTAATAATATATTATAATTTTGGTTAATAATTAAATTATTAAAATTTTCAATATAAATAAATAAATATAAATATTATTAAAATTATTATTATTTCTTTAAAATAATAACCTTCAATGGATCTTGTATTAGAAAGATTTACTGAAGTTAATATATCACCTAAACCCAATAAATGCTAAGAATAATAATTTTATCATTTTTATATATTTCATATTTTATATATTTTATGTCTATATACAACTAGTATATATTTATTTCTTTACATACCGCATGAGCATCTATTAACCCTGGTAACACTGTTCGACCTTGTAAGTCAATATGCTATAAGAACAAACAACAATATACGATATACAATATATAATATATAATATATATAATATTTCCAATATTGAATAATAATCAATAACAATCACCTGAAGATTATTCCATTTTTTTAATAAATCAGTTTGAGAACCAATATCTATAAATTTTCCATTCAAAACTGTAAAAGAATCAATTCGGGGAATTTTATTATCTGAAGTATAAACATTTGCATTATAAATTACGTAGCCTTTTGGTTCTTGTTTAGAAGAAGTGGTGGTGGAAGTATTAATATTGGAAGTGGGAATATTGGGATTCATTTTTATTTATTCATTTGATAATTTTTTACATGAGATTTTGATTGAAAATAATTAATTTCCATTTATGGAAACCTTTTTTTATTTATATACATAATAAAATCATAAAATTAATCGGTAAATAAAATAAGGTGCTTATTTTATTTTAAAATTGTGAAAGTCGCGTTCTTTTTATTTATTTTTTTTTTTTTTTTCAATTATTACTAATGCTTTTAATGCTTTGTAACTTTTTTATTTATTTACGAATAATCCATTTAATGTATCCTTTTTGAATAATAATAATAATAATATTATTATTATTATAAAAAATCAATAAAAAAAACTAATTGTGATTCTTCGGAGAATTAAAATGTCTGTCACAGTCTGTGCTGTATATTTATTGCATAATAATATTTTTTTTTTTGTAAGTTACGGACGGATATCCTAACACTAAACTATACTACTTTTTTGAGGCTTGGGATTTTTTTTTTGGAGACAGTGTCGTCTTTGGAAGATTGTCAATAGTAAATGACTCTTCAGCGTTTGAACGAAACGCAACGCTTTTCACTTTCGCAATAACATCAAGTACAGTTGTTATACTATTCTGAAATTATTAGAAATAATTAAAATCCATAAGAAAAATTCCAACTAGAGAATTGGCAATATAAAGGCATACCTTCAGACATAATACATCTTTTAAGGCTATAAGACTTTCTGGAACGTTTCCCCATGTCGTTCCAATTCGATATTGACATGTCTTGAACACGAAATAATATTTAATGTCAATATCATAGTACATGACATACGTCTCCCCACTAAGACCTTTATTAAATGTAAAGAATGGGTATCAGCCAACTTTACATTAGAGTGTAAAAACATCTGCAAGTTTTCTGTTACTTCCTATGGTTACCTCCGTGAGCCATTCCGTGTGAAACAATCTTCTTTACTTCTTTAATTGTTTCCTCTGTAAATTTCAAATTCTTCAGGAGACGATCTAGTTGATCCTTCATTTCACGAAATAACTTTTTTTTATAGGAAATCGGTTTTGAGTTTTGTTGATCTTCATCTGTGTATGTTTCTGAACTGAAATATTCCATATTATCAATACGAAAGATAATATCAATTTTGTGCCCAGATCTTTTTTTTCCGATCCTTCTCTTGATATGTTCTTACGCTCAATAGATGCCAATGATATCTCTTCACCTCTGAAAAATAATTAGAGACTCAAAGCTAAGAAATCAACTATTGTATTAAACTTTATTAGAAACTTCATACTAACCGATGAACTTGAATTTCTTCACATGCTAAAAAGCATTCATCAATTAAAGGAGCCAAGATATGGCAATTCAGCCAACCTTCCGAATTTTTATCCAAGAGTGGATTTCGCGAAGCTTCAAAAAAACAATGACCTAGATAATGAGACGATTTGTTGTGAAATGGATCTTAACATAAATAGTGCAAATTCTGTTAATAGAAACGAGAACTAAATAGAAAATTTGACTCACAATTTGTCAGCAAAACGATGAACCCAATGTAATTCATAGTGTTTTCTAAATGAATATGTTTCACCCGGCGGAACAAATGGAAGCTGAAGTTTGTTACGGAATACTTCACGATTAACAGACTGAAAACGCGAAATTAGTAATGATTATAAAAAAAAAGGAAATTACTAGTAATAAATACTTAAAACATACATTGTCAATTAATTCATAAATATATTTCATGGTCCCATTAGTGACAGAAACCAATGTATAATCACGTTTGATTTTCAATCTTTTCATTAAAGGCAAGTCTGTTGTGTCGATTATGTTCGAACAGATTGGGTCACTATAATAAAAATAAGGACAATTAGTTAGTCAATAATATAATATGGGAACACAAATTTACTCTTATAGACATGTTTTTATTTACTATGTGGATTCCGTTCGCTGTTTCTCTTCTCTTAATCGTTCAAGTAAGTCTTGATCCATGGATGCAGAGCGAATTTGATGAGGCGGGGTACATGGTCCATCATGCATTGGATTAATAACATCACTAGACCTTGTAACTCCTGTTCCGATTTCCACCAATGGTATATATAGGTCATAACCATCAACGTTTTCTCCTGTTTTGGTCTGTTCGCTCAAAAAAAAGTAGAAAATTTTGAGAAATTCGCATAAACAATCCTTATCATTGTTCTGCATTATATACACACCTTCTTAGAAACAACAGGCTCTTCATTCTGTAAATATCATAATTAGTCATTAAAAAATGCACATGTAAATTCTGGGAAACATAAAATTTCATTGTTCTATCCTAACTTTTTTTGAGGTTTTCCTCTTTTGATGAGTAGACACATTGGGTTGGAAATCTCCATCATCTTAGAAATCCTCGTCATCTTGGAAACCTTCGTCATCTTGGAAATCTTCATCATCTGGGTATTGTATATTAGAATTCCGCTCAAATATGCTCCTTGTAATCTCTTTCTGTACCTTCATCGATTGGGATCCAATTTCCTGTGCTGTGGTAAACAACAGCTCGGCCTAGTAAGTCGTAACATTAATTAGAAAAGCATGAGGAAAAAAAGGAACAACACTATAATTAACAAGATGAGCGTACATAACGTGCGTCCAATTATGACATCCTTCTCCTTTCAACAAATCTTCTCTTCGTTCTCAAGAGTCATTAGCTTTAACTTGGGAAGGGAAGAAAGACTTGTTTAAAAAAAGAAATCTGAAAAATCAATAAGAATATAGTATCTACCTCCTGCTCTTCTTGAATGATGGTATGCCAAAAATTGTTTAACATAATCTTCGTTTGCTTCATCCTAATCATAAAATGTATAAAATTAATATGTGGTGGGGATTATAAACACAACAAGCACAAATAGTTCATCAAGATCGAGTGGTGGCCAACGTCGAACATGATAGTCATCAACAACTTGACCTAGAACGGTATTCAGATTGTCAAGTGCTATAATGTTGGTATAACATGATAGTCAATCTGGGCCAAGCCCATCTTCAAAAGATGGACAACATTGAACGTGATAGTTCATTAACAACCTGACCTAAAACAGAGATACACCCTGTTCAGATTGTCAAGCGTTTAGATGCCAATATAACACACATAGTCAACTTGAATATCCCAGACCCACCTTTTATCCTATAGAAATAATAATTTATTACTTAACTCTGAATGTTTTTAGAGCGAGAAATGCTTTAGATTGGAAATCGTCTGAGTCACTGCCTGCAAGCATACCAAGGGTCCTAGTATACGTGTTATACTCTTTTGTTTTATTTCCTGTCCAATTTTCTCTGACAGAATTAAATATATTACGGCAAGAGTTGCAACTATGGAGTTGTACTATTTTTCTAATTGCAATCGCAATTATGTTGTAATGCTGTAATTATGACATAATGCTGTAATTCTGGTACAATTATATCATAATGTAATTATATATAAGATCGGAAGACAAATAAAAAATTGTAATCATCATCATCATCACCATATAATAATTATCCACTTTCAGATTCAATTCCTTATTATTCACCACTTTCATAACCATCACCATATAGAAATGAATTCTCGATATAAGAATCATAATTAATATCGTATAATTATTTATTATGTAATTATATATAATGTATTATTAATAACAATAATAATAATTGAAATTATTAATTAATATAGTTAATATTATTCGAATTTTCTAATTTTCGCCAAGAAAAATCCCGAAGTATTAGAATGTATAGGATCAAATCTTACAACATTTGATAATAAATCTTGATTACTATTAATAATTTTCGGAGCCAAATTAAAATTTTCAATATCAGGAATTATTTCTAATTTGGCTTCATCTTTATGATTAAGTAAAAACCATTCAATTACATCTTCATTTTGTTTACGTGATAAACTGCACGTACTATAGATTAATATTCCTCCAGGTTTTAATAATGACCAACCATTGTTTAATAGATTTCGCTAAAATTATAAATAATAAATAAATAAATATAAATAAATATAAATAAATAAATAACGACGACGATATAATATTATTTATTACCTGTAAATCCTCAAGATTATTTAAACGCTCGGGATTCAAAAAGTTTTTTTCAAATTTATCCCATCCACATTTTTCATACTTGAAAAATTTTAAAATTTTAGAATTATTTTTATAAATTAATTATAAATAAATTATTATAAATTATTAATTAATTAAAGATTTTATTATAAACTTACTTTTAGAATATGTGAAATAGATCCATCATGTGTACATTCTGCATCCACAATTACTTTATCATATAAATATCGAAAATCTTTTATTTGTGGATCGGTTCTTAATATTTTTGGCGCCCAAAACGGTTTCACTGATTTCTCCCTTTGTTCTCTATTCTTTCTATTACTACTACTATTACTATTGTTCTCACAATTACTATTATTATTCACCACTACCCCACCACGTGCCATAACTTGTTTAATTATTGGATCCAAAAAAGATGGAGCAAATATATTAAAAATTGTTCCATCTGCAATAAATAATCTCGCTCGACTTATTTTATATTTCTTTATTATATTTTTACAAGTAGAAATTCGAGTACGAGAAATATCTACTCCAGTAATTGTACCATATCCATTGATACCTAATAAATCTGATATCATACATAATTTTGCACCTAACAATAATAAACAATTGTTTATAATAATAATAATAATAATAATAATAATAATAATAATAATAATAATAATAATAATAATAATAATAATAATAATAATAAGAAGAAGATAATAATTGTAATAATACCTGGAGCACAACATAAATCCAATATATGATCATTGGGTTGTATATCAAGTGACTTCACTGCTATTCCCGAACTTAGATCAATTCCATAAATCTATTCTTCCCATCATTAAATATTTTAAATATTAGTAAAATCATTCATATTTCTTTCTTCCTAATTATTTCTTAATGTATTATACCTTTCCTTCTTTATAACTATAAAATATATATATCGTTATTTATGATATTATAATATTATTTCATGATAAATATAATAATATTATTATATAATAATTATGTAATAATATTTTTTGACATACGCCAAGCAATCATTAATTTTATTCTTCCAATCCATTCCATAAAAACCATCCATTCCATCAACTTTCCATAATTTTGTCCCAATCTGAGTTTCTAATTCTTGTTGTGTTGGTGGTGAAAATTCTTCAAATTTATGATAATATTGTGTATTTATTCGAACATATCGTATCATTTTTTTAACTGTATATATATTAGGATCAATTTCATTTTCTTGAAGAAATTCTAAAAAGGCCGAGGGTAGCTTAGTAATCGTGAAGAACGTATCAAATTTAATACAATACGAATGAACTTTGTTTTACTAATTAATATTATTGTTAATATGATTGTAAATTAATATTGTTAACATTACGAATAATACCAAGTTTTCCGAGTTCATATTTATTAAAAATTCATAGATGAGGTTACGCGAATCATTGATTTTAATGCCTTTTAACGCAAGCTTTCTATTGGTTAAGTGAAATCTGTCGATTGATAACATCGATAATCTGATCAAAAAAAAAAATGTGCTCAGTTCTCTCACAAATAAGTTGATTGAGAATGAGTTTCTTTCGAAAGTCACGTTATACAAGTTAGGTCTCGAATATGAAGGTTAAGACTGTACCATTAATAAATTATCTGTTATTTACATGAATTTGTAGTTTTTTATTCCGATTACATTTTTGTTAATCCAAATAATTTTTTTTTTTAACGGAATATCAAAATTTTATCAGAATTATCATATATATAGCTAGGTAGTTATGATTGAAGGAGGATGAAATGAGTCATTTTTTGCAGGAATGAAATTCAATTGTTATATATAACATATATAACATTGATAACATATATAACATTTATAACATATATAACATTTATAACATATATAACATTTATAACATATATAACATTTATAACATATATAACATTTGTAACATAACATATATAACATATATAACATTATAACATGAGGAATTTTCTTTCAATTCTAAAAATTCCCAGATGATTGACAGAAATTATTCATGATATAAATGAACAATTGTAATTGATAATTCTTTATCAACGGGCTTTTTGCTTATAATGCACACGTAAAAATTTTGAATTCTAAGAGTTTTTAATATATATATATATATATTTAATATATATATTTCTCTAAAATGGGGGAATTTTTAAAAATCAAATATAAAAGTTTAAAACAGAAAGAAAAAAATAATAATTCTAAAATAAATAAATGTAATAAATATTATAAAAATCCTTCAGTTTGATTATTTAAATTCTTATCTTATATGCTTAAATACAATATATAAAAATTCATCGATACGAGTTTTGATAACTTTTACGATGAATTTTGCTTTAATAAATGTAATGTTTGCGATATAAGCAAAATATAAATTGCGTATCGAAAACATTCTTAATATACTTATCAAATGGGAAACCAATAAAACAAAGGTGAAAAAAATTTATAAAATAAAAGAAACGCTATAAAAAAAAAATTTTCTGAAAATCTCTATAAAACCACACAAAAATCGCTGTAAAATAGAATTAAAAGACTATAGTGCCTTACTATTTATCCTGAGAAAAAACCATCACACCACGAGAATCATTTTATGACAAGATGACTACATTTATTTTATATAAATAAATGAATCATTATTAAATGCGCTTCAATGTCGTGTTATAAATCCATGTCTTTTCCTTCTTTTTCTTCTTTTTCTTCATCTTCATCCGTATATGCTTCATCAGAACTTGCTTCATCGCTCGAGGAATCTTCGTCTGTTGCTGCATCAGCTGCTTCTTTCGTAGCGAATCTGCTGACATATTCTAATAACATTTTTTTTTTCTTGTAAAAAATATGTTTAACAAAAAATAAAATACATATATATATATTTTTGATTTAATAAAATTTCATTTTACCTTTGACTCTTCCTTCATATGTATGTGGTTCTCTCATTAACAATGCGGCAGCTTCACCATTAAGTGGATCTGTGGGATTTGGATATCTTAAAAGTTGAGGAAGGAATACCTCAAAGATATTAATCATATCTAATATTTTAAATGTTTTGATCATTAAAAATTTATTGTAAAACGCCAGACAAAAAAAAATTCATAATTCAAAAATTCAATAAATTCATAAATTCAAAACTCCAAAAATCCTAAAAATCTTTTGATATTGAGTTCATACCAAACATTGGACTCCAGGTTTGATTAATTACATCGAGACAAACAGAACCACTACTAAAATCAAGTTTAAATTGATCCGCGATTAGTATTAATATATCATTTATTTGTAATCAATGATGAAATTAAAAATATAATTACAGCTCATCAATATTGGGATGAAAAATTTTGTTCATGAAACCAATCGACGGTGATTTGTATGGATATTGATCAGGGAGTTCAACGTGAACTTTCCAAACACCACCCGTGAAAGGTGCTTAAAATAATTTTATATATCAAAAATCTTTAGTAAAAGGTATGCAACAAAAGAACATAAAAAAAAAATAAATAAATAAAAATATGATTTATGAAGCAAGTCAAAGGAAAAGCAACATACTGTCTTCAGGTCCATGAAACCGAACGTAAAATTCTTGCATGTTATCATTAACAAGGGAAACTTCATAATCACTCATGAGACTATAAAGTTAGGAATAGATCCATAAAAAAATTATTTAATCGTCAAATGAATAATTTATTTTTGAACAAAAATGAGAATACTTTCTTGTATTCACATTTTAACGTGATTAATAAACTTACAGTTTCATTACGTCAGTCTCGATCCTTCTACGTGGCGTGGTCATTCTTGAAATATTTTTTTATGATTTGTAAGGTGTCTTAAGGATGGCACTACTTTTTCTTTAAAGGTTGTGGAGTGTGAGAGTAACTTGAAAATCAAAGAAATAATAATACTGGTCCAAAGTTCTTTCTATCAGATATATAAAAGTACCACGGCATAATCACATGGTCTGTACAATAAACTAATCACTTCACCTTTCTCTCAATGTTGTACTTGTTACGAGACAATTATCGAAACTTTAATAATTGAATTTATTATTTTATTTTAATATAATTGTAATATAAATTATAAATTTAAATTTTTAATTGATTTTCTACTTCTTGATGTTGAAATGATATCTTTCCTTTAACTTTTAAAAAAAATTATAAAAATTATACTTCAAAATCTTCTCAAAACTGAAACTATTTGAACTTTATAAATAACTCAATAAGGAAAAATTCGAAATAAATTCAGGAGCTAATAAATCCAAAGCTTCATGACATAAGTGTGTTACTACTGTTTTTAATTTACATGCAGTAATTTACCAAGAATATCAAGAACAAAATTTTCCCTAGAAATCATATGAACTTTTACGTTTTTCTTATTTTAAAAATATATAATTTTTTATAATAATAATAATAATAATAATAATTATTGTTATTATTATTATTATTATTTATTATTTATTTATTATTTTTCTTAAAATTTTATTTTATTTTTATTTATTTAATAGAGAAAGAAATAGATGATTTTTTTAATTCAAAAATATCAAATTTAAACTTTAGTATTACAGTTGCCACTGGGTAAAAACAAATATAATGAACCTGACCTGTTAATATCGAAAACTGGTTATATCGAAAATAAAAAGTCCTGAAATGATTTTTTTTTTACAATTGATATATAATTGATTAACGAACATCATATAAAAATTCATCAAGTTCGTTATATTCAGTGGGGACTGTATATAGAAATATAACAAGTCATTTGATATAATCAGGTGGTTTTTGATATGCAACTTATCTTCGTATTATGAAATGCTTAAATACATAATATATGCTATCGACCAATTCCCTTATTTAGGTTAAAAACTTTATCATGCGTCTTCATTTCTTCATTAAAAAAAAGGACCCACATCACGTTTCAACAGCGATCCCCAATTAAAATTAAATCCGCAGTATTACAAATTAGTGTCATCTTTGTCCAATCAAAATCTAAGAAAAACTAATCGAAACTGTGTAACTTAATTTGAATCAAAAAGTATTCTCCCGAATCCAAAAACAATATAATTGTCCCTTCGATGGTTTTTCCTACTAAAGATAATTCTAACTCAAATGTTGGACCGGTTCCTTCTATTCTCCCACCAGGTCGTATACCTTCAAACGGATCTATATATGCCGTTTTGGATTTTTTCAGTATATCTCTACCAAGAGTAACTTTATATTCTTTCGCCTACATGTTGATCGTTGTGGCAATCTGTGTGCTCGCCTTGGCTTTTGTACATAAGGTAAAAAAATTTTTCTTAATCTAAGAGTTGTGAATTTTCTTCTATAATTTCATCTGATCTTTCACGCAATACCTGTTTTGTATTTTGATTTCACTACGCATTGGATATGGATCACATTTCAAAGATCATAATTCATACGCATTTATAGTTTTAATATGATTTTTTCCTGATTACAATCGTTCTATATAATTTATCCGTAATTTTTTATATTTCATCTTCCGTACAGTTAGAGGATATCCAAATAGAATGAATGACTTGGTTAATGCATTTAGATAGAAAATTTGATAAATTGATACTTAATGCGTTCTCAAAATTTTTTTTTTTTTTAAAAAAAATTCACTTAACTAATAAATACTAATAAATAAATATTATTTTCATTTTATTTAAAAAAAGCATGTGGCCAAGCCTAGTTGGAGACCTAGTTCCCAACAACTGAGCGAAAAAGTTAGATTGTACATGGCTCGATCCATGATCGGCGATGCAACTCGTAAGATGTTCAATGGATGGTCAAGATCGCGCCAGGATAATTCAACAATTTCTAATAGGGATGAAAAGAGTAGACGTTTATCGCCTGATACATCATCTTCGTCCTCCACATCCTTGTCGCCTTCTGTATTACCAACGCACACCGCATCCCCTAGATTATATAAAAAGACATCAAATTCTCGACTGGCATCTCAACGACGTTCAAATTCACGCCCAAAATCTCAGCCACAAATTTCATCCATTTCAACAATAGACGATAATTCGTCTGATAATTCGTCAAATAATTCTTCAAATGATCAACTGCTCGAACAACCTTCAACAAGTACCGAACTTGATGAATCAAAAATAACAGTAACAATTAATGTTGCAGATGCATTAAATTCTCAGGTCGAACAGACCGTCAATGTGAATTCTCATTCTCAAGAAAGCAATTGTAAGATAGAAAATAACCATTTAGATGCGAACCTTGAGAATGTCTCTTCGACGACGAATAATAAACAGAATCATCCTGAGCAAGTACTTACTTCAGATCATATTGATTCTTGGAATAATTCTTGTCAAAATTCTATCTCAAATCAAGATGAAAAGGATAGGCGAGTAGCCCTGGATATTATGGCACCATCTCTCTCATTACCTCCTCAGAATTTATCTCCTATATTACGTAAAAAGAATTCAAAATCTCTATTAAAAGGAAAGCGAAGACAAAATTCTCGTCAGAACGATCAGAATGGATGTGAGGATCAGTCAAGGCATAATATAATTGATCTAAATTCATCGGAAACCCAAATTATACAAAAAGATAATCAAGAATCGAGTCAAAACGAAACATCCGTAAAATCGGGGCATAAAAGACGACGGAAAAGGGCCAAGAATTCTAAGAATAATAATCAACAGACTTTAAGACGAGATCAACGCATTGAACAAAAATCATCAAAGCAAGATTCCGTTACAGATCAAGAACTTACACAACATAATGTTAATAGGTTATCAAAATCAATTTCTTCCAATTCTTCCGATGACACAATTGGTTCAATATCTTATCCACTTTGGCAGAAATCATTACGTGATCAACAAGGTGATCATACGCAACAATCATTGAATGAATTGAATAGATCTGTTCAACCTGATGAATCTGTAAAGAATTCTAAATATGAAATTTGGCAAAAATCGGAAGACCAAAATCTAGATGCAATTCATTATCAACCGCAACAACATTCAAATCATTTAAGCCATTTAAGCCATTCAAGCCATTCAAGCCATTCAAATAATTCGTCATATTTTATTCCTGTTAACAAACGTAATTCAAATGTTACAACTATTCCAGCAAAAGCAACGTTATCTGAAGTGAATGATAAAAATGCTAATATGTTTCAACGATCCGATTCTCCATGGAAACATAATGGATTGTCCTCATCTTCTCACATAGAAACCGATATTCAATCTATCAATCAACCGATCGTTTCCGTGAATAAATTTACCTCATATGCAGATGTAATTGCCCTTAATAATAATAATAATAATCATCGAAATTCTTCAGCCACATCAAAATCGTCACAGATTATACTTCCTACTGAAAATAAAATTGCAACTCCTGCACCTACCGCTTCAGTGAGGAAATCTACTAATCATCAATGGTATTCTCCTTTCGGTTCTGGTCTTTCAATTCAACTCAATACACCTTCATTACCTCGGGATAATTATAATCAATTAGAATCCTCAACCAATTCGATATCTTTATTTTCTTCTGATTCTTCGCCAGTAATGCCCGAACGTAGTCGATCTACAATCGTACCACCTTCTCCAATATCGGTTCCAAATAATCGTCATTCATCAACGTCGTCGATGTTTTCATCATCATCACCTTTTTCCAATTTATCCCAATCCTCCATGTCAAATAAAAATCCTTCAAATTCCACATGCATTTCGCCGACAGCTTCCTCGTTAAGGGGATCCTTTTTCGGAAGAAAACATCCAGTTTCGGATAAAGAGAAAGGAGAATTAGATGGTATTAATAGGGAAAAACTGAATGAAAATAAAAGCCAAGCTACAACGTGGTACGAGTCACGAAGATCTCAACAGCCACAATTTTCTTTGTTTGATAAACGGTTGTCCTTCATGTATCCTCCAAAATCTTAGCCACATTCTTTTCTTTTTTTTTCTATTCGAACAAAATTATTAAATAGGAAAAAAAACGAATGAGATGTAAGGTTCAAAAAGGTGAATCAATGCTATTAGTATTTAAAGGTTTTAAATGTATCAATGTATCAATCTATTAGTTTATTAGTTTATTGGTCTATTGGTCTTATTGATAAAAGAGTTTTATCATTAATAAAAAAAAAAAGCGGAAACAAGTATATATAATCCTAATCATGAAATAATTGGTGAAGAAATTGTGAAGGATTAAGAATTGCGATTTATTTCATGCTGATGATAAGTTTTATTTTTTTTTATTTAACGTTATCATAATCAAGACCATCCATCACTTATGAAAATATATATATATACTTGACTTGGTTATTTCTTATTATTTTCATATGTATATGAATTATCAAAAAAAAAAAATAAAAAATTAGTAGTAGTAGTCAACACATTCGAAAAAAAAGACGCGACAATTTTTTTCAAAAAATTAGTTGTACTTATATGTAAAAAAAAAATATTTAAATATCTTTTTTAAAAAAAAAAATAAACATTTATCTCTGGTGATAAATATTATAAATAATATTATTAAAATTGTATAATTTTGCTTTTTTAATATTCTTATGTCATAATTATAGCCTTGAAGTTAGTCAATGACTATTTTATATCAATTAGAATTTTACGTGGTCAACCAAATTACCAAAAAATAATAATGTTTCAGTTCCTAAATCATGTTAGTCACAATAATTACATTAATTACATTAATAAAATTAAAAATAAAGATGGTGATAAATGAATATTTTATTTCCGAGAACGTACAGGAAATTTAAATAAATTAAACATAAAATTTACGCGAAACATTTATGTAATACATAATTTACATGTTATAAATTAGGTAACATTTTCATTTTGCAATAAGGAAGAAAATTATTACTTTTATTTCTAATATGTAGCGCCACTGCACCTGTGAATTCTAGATTCTTTTAATAAATAAAGTTTCATCCGCATCAGGCTCTTTGACAAAGTGATTGGCATTATAAATGGTTATTTTTTAACCCACTTCGGTGGTGTGGGGAAATAACAGTCATATGATTTGACGAACAGATCAATTCGAAGGATCATGACGTCATAAATACTGAGCCAATCAAAATCAAAGTTATTTTCCTAACGGGAATTTATTCATGTGACATATACAAAAAATTTGCATATCATCTTGTTTGAAAAAAAATGGAAATGAACTTTTTACAAAGTGTTTGAAATGGATGCTTTGAACTTTCTGAACTTTTGTTGAAATAAAAAAAATTAAACAGCAGACAAACAAAAGAGTATAACATATATACTAGAACTTTTGAAAATGCTTACAAGTAATGACTTATATGATTTCCAATCTAAATATCTCTTATTCTAAAAACTTTCAAAGTTAAGTAATAAATTATTATTTTTATAAGGTAAAAGATAAGTCTGAAATATTTAAGTTAACTATATATGTTATATTAGCATCTAAACATTTAACAATTTGAACAAAATATCTCTGTTTTAAATTAAATTGTTAATAAACTATCACATTCGATATTGATCATCTTTTGAAGATGTACTTAATTCAAATTAACTATTATGTTATATCAACATTACAGTACTTGACAATCTGAATTCTGTTCTAAGTCAAGTTATCGATAACTATTATACTTAATGTTGATTACTAAAGTCAAACCTATATATAATCAATTAAATTTTGATGATAATTATAGCAGTAGGTGATATTATTTGAAGAACCTATATATAATCACATCATATAAAAAATATATTACTGGTGATTATAAATTTTTATAATTAAAATTGTTAGAACTTTATTATATTTTATATTATATATTATTTTTTAATTTAAAATTTTCATTCATTTCAAAACTAAAATTTGAATTATCTACTTTAGTTATTTCAAAACTTATATTTGTTAAAAAAATATTATTTAATTTTGTTTGTTTTTTACTTATAAATTTTATTTTTTCAACAATTTATATATATTTTTTAAATTTAATTAAATCTTCAAAACAAAAATCATTTGAATTTTGTTGTTCAAAAAAACTTATTTACTTTTTTTAAAAATACAAGACCTTCTTTAATATTAACAGTAGGTGGTTTTTCATTGTCAGACTCATTGTTAATATTTTGTGATACAGAATTATTTTCTTCCAATATTAATTTAATTATTTAATCATCTATTAATAATTCTTCAGTAACTATATTATTATTATTTTCAAATTCTAATGAAATATCTGTATCTAATAAAAGATTATTAATTTTATTTTGATCATATAAATCTTCATCTTGCATATTATTTTCAGCATTATTAATTTCTTCTTTACTTGTATCTGGTAAAATTTTTATTTTTATCAAACAATTTGTAATTGTTGACAGTATTACTTTTTCTCAAGCTTTTTCAATAAAATCAATTGCTTCTTTAATATATAATTTTCTAAAAAAAAAATTAAAAAAAATAATTAAAAAATAATTAAAAAATAATTAAAAAATAATTAAAAAAATAATAATTAAAAAAATTACAATTTATCTATATTTTCATTTCTTTCAAATCTTCGGATAAGGTCACAATGTTACAGAATAAAAATATCATGATAGTATAATACTAGAAACATCTGTAGATAATAAATAATAATTTTAGAAAATAATAGTATTTAAAATTTAATTAGTAAATATTAACTTATATAATAAATAATAACACTTTAATAATTTTTCAACTAATATTTATAGTCTGTAATACACATTAATTAATCACAGAATAATAGTACAAGATCACGTTATAGAATATTAATTTTATTTATTTTTATTATATTATTATTCAATATATTTATTATTTATTTATAATTTATGTTAATCAAAGATCATGTAACAGGTGACTCACCAGGTTGATTACCAGGTGAATCACCTAGGTAAATTACCTGTTGCATGTAACAGGTAAATCATCAGGTTGATTACCTCTTGCTAAAATTAGTAAATCATTAATTTGATAGATCGTTGCGTGCAACAAATCAAAGGAATATAAATATGAGTCTTCCCTGACCTGGGAAGAGGGGAGTCCAAGAAGTTTTTAGTTCTCAATAGTTTAAGAGATCAGAACAGAGTTGTCTCTTCTAATTAATATATAATTTAATCCTTTAATATTTAC